TTTCTTCTCCCCAATGAGCAGCCTACATCCATCACCATGAGGAGCAATATCGATTTTTTCCCAACTGAGAGATAGCTCTACCATGGTGGCCCTATCACTGAAGAAAGCGAGGAGAACAGTGAAGAAGGAAGTGCAGAAGAAAGTGAAGAGAGTAGTGAAGAGGAAGAACAAGAAGAAGGTGATGTTGGCGCCAACAATGATGAGGATTCCCAAGAGGAAGAGCAAGGAGAAGATGAGTTGCTTGAGTACAACACTGAGAGGTTTCACTTCAGACCTCATGAAGTGCCAAGTCAAGGGAGCTCCCTGAATTATGCACATGACCACATAAACAATCTTCAAAGTTGGTGCAAATGGCAAGACAAAACAATAAAGAAGCTTGTCAAAATGGTGAAGGGGAAGTTCAAGAAGTACAAGTCCAAATCACATGGAGCTTCTCAACAGATCCAAAGTCAGGAGTTTACTTCACACTATGAGGAGCAAGTGCAGCAGGAAGAGCCTAATGAAGAAGAGGAGGCAAACTGGATGCCCCAAAGGAGACATTCCTTCCAAGTGCAACAAGATGATCAATGGCCAGCTTGGGAACCAGCTAGGGCTTCTTCATATGTCCCTGTGTCTCAGCTGCCATCAGCATGGGAAACGCCAGTTTACTCTCCTTCTAAGGCTTACACCACTTGGCAGGAGTATGATGCTCAAGGTAACCCAAATCAAGTGCAGGCACATTGGCCTAGTTGGGTACCTCCACCTCAAACAACATCCTCTTCACAAGGAAGGAGAAGGAACAAGAGAAGGACAAGTCAGTCTCCATAACCAGCAACATCAGGAACCTTCATAGATCCAGAAGAGACTGATGAACTTTCTTATTCATCCAACCATTCCTCCCACCATAACTAAGGTACCACATCCTTACCATTTTATATAACATTGCATATTTTTAGTTGATGTAGTATATTTATGTTGCTTCTCTCTCTCATTCTTTTATTATACAAAAGATTGTGTAATTTAAGTGTGGGGGAGGGATTTAGGGTTTGACATTATTTGTTCTTTTCTTAGTTTTTCATTTCTTTCATCTTTGAGTCACATGCATCTCATGCATACATATAAGTGCATAAAAAAAATACTAAAAAATCAAAAACTGAAAAAATTTGCATGTTTTTCAAACTAAAAAGAGAGCACATAGTTTCATTTCATTTGATTAAGATTGATCTAGTGTTTGCATATAGGCTACATTGCATTTGCATAGGGCATGATGATTAATTTTCCTTGTAAAATGCTCTGTGTTTAAGTTTGATTTAAATGTCCAAGTGTTTAGTTGTTTGATGCATCATTAGAAGTTAGAAGTTAAGGCTGAACCATGCTTGGATTGCTAAATTTGATTCTCACATTCTCATACTGAAACCATTTGTTCATTGAAAATCAACTCTTTCTATTTGAACCTTAATCTGATTTTTAATTATCATGTTCGTGCATTGAAAAGTGAATTCATGGCTACCATATACATATTTGGATCACTTTTTCCCTTATTACCAATCTTGTTGATCCAATTAGCTAATCTTCATACTTATGGGACAGTTAAACCCCTCCCTTAACCAAACCTCCTTTTGAGCTTAAACACTATCTTGAGAGTTGTGAGGCCTTGCATGCATTATTTCGAATTCTGTCTTGGCAAAAAGTGTTAGGACTAATGCTGGCAAGGAGAGGCTCTCTTGTAGATATCAACTTGCATTTTGAGCTTGATTCTAGGTTAGGAGTTTGGGATAAAAGAGTAGTGTTAAGTGGTTTAAACTTCATGTTTATATCTTTTAAGAAGAAGAAGAAGAATGGGATGGTAGTATGGGGAAATTAAGTTTAAATTATGGATAAGTAAAAGGAAGAAAAATCTCTAGATGTTTAAGATAAGGAGGCGCCAAAAATCAGCAAGGCTTTGAAATGTCATTCAAAAGAAGAAATCAGACCCAAGGCAATCCACCAAATGTGAAAAATGGCACCTAATCAACAAAAGGAGAGCAAGTCCCAACAAAAAGGATCAACCACACAAGCAAGAAGAAGAAGTTTCCCCACACATGAAGATGAAGAAGATCAGTTCTTTGGGAAAGGGTAGACTTAGGATTTCACGTTGGGTTTAGAAGTCTTTAGGATTCATCTTAATGTTAAGGGTAAAAGAGAGCTTTGACTTGCATGCATAAGTGTGCTTTTACCTTTAGCATTTTTCCTAAGATAGAATCATTTTCATTGAGTGATCCCTTGATTTTACTAGCCCTTACTTGAATGATATCATTGTCATCTCATGACCATACCCTAAGACTAAATGTTTTCACTTGATTTGCACAAACATGATTCATGGTTACAAGCTTAATGAATGTAAAAGAGTTGATTGATTTGGCATTTGTCTAGGTTGAGATTTGAGATCATTTTGAAACATGATGTACTTGGCTAAGTTATTTAAAGTATAACTGATTGTGTTTTGCATCCTACACTTAGGCACTTAGACATTGGCTTCATTTCTTAACCTTAGCATTTTGGGATTTGAGTGCCCACCATCAAACCTCATCCTCCATTTGTCTTAGTTTGATTGCTTGAGGGCAATCAAAAGGCAAGTGTGGGGGTGTTGATATCTCATATATTTACATCATATAAGCTTGCATTTAGTTCATGTTTTGGTCTTCTTTTGTATGTTTTCTTTCTCTTTAGTCCTATTTTCCTTTCCTTTTAGGCTTAGGTTGTATTTAGGTTGTAGTTTGCATTCTTTGTGCATTAAAGATGTTTTAAGTACCTAAGGAGCTATTTGGAGCAAGGATGAAGCATTGGGATGATTCAAGGAATTGCCTAAGCTAAGGAGGAGCAAATGAGCCAAGGAAGATGGTTTTTGGTGCAGTATAAATCAAGGCACAAACCACATCAATCAGGAGTGATCGATGTAAAGAAGCCGAGAAGATGAAGATTCACATCGATCAGTCACATCAGTCACATGTGATCGATGTGAAGAGACAGGACACTTGCCAGCATCGGCCAAGACTGACCTATGTACTTCACCCAAGAGACTTGAAGACTGCATCGATCATCCACATCGATCACTTGTGATCGATGTGAGCCTAATCCGAACACCTTTTATTTACAAGTTTGCCATTGCTTTAGGGTTTTTGTATTTTACTAGAAATAGGCTTGGACTAATGGGTTTTAGCCAAGTCTTGATCTTGTTTAGTTTCTTAAGTATTCTTTCATCTTTGTAAGACAAGATCTTCTTTTTAATCTATAGTTTTGTATTTTCATCATTAATTCTTCTCTAATCTCCTTCTTAATCAGGTTTATCATCCTTTTCCTTTGTGATTTGATGATTTCCATGATGATTAGTGAGTAGACTTTTTAGGGTTCTTAGATGTGGTAAATTAGGGGAATTTAGAGGCTTGGTTAGGATTTGTTAATGCTTAATTAGGTTGATTCCTCTCTGTTAATCTGTGTTTAGGTTAGATTTGTCTTGATCACATGAATCTAGATTTAGGCTTCATCTTATGTCTACCAACTCTAGAAATGCTGATCTTGTTTAATAGAGGATTTACTGGTCTTAGCTCAAAAGATTGATTGTCTGAGAAATATTTTGGCTTGTATAGAGTTGGAATTACATGCTTGTCGATTGTTCTAGCACTAATGAGAGTTAGTTCTTGTTAGGATGATTAGCAAAAGGTTATTTGTCAAGAGATTGAGCTTAACTTGCTTGATTGTTAATTCTATGCCTAGGAATTAGCATTGATTGCTTGTTTGTATTGTCAATGATGTTTGGAATAGTCAATAACCATATCTAGAAACTTGTTTTCTCTTATTGAATTTCGAATTTGTCTTATTGCTCTGTTTTTATTACTCTGTTTTGCTTTGAATCACTGTTTGGTATTGCTTTAACTAGTTGTGTTTGGTTCTTGATTCACTTAAGTTGTTAGTTTGATTGCTTTGCAACAAATCTTTTCTGAATTCACTTGACTTTAGGTTTTCTGCTCATAATTTTATTGGCTTTATTCATGACTTTTTTGAATTGATAAAACCATATGCTATAATACAACTGATTAGTACAAGAGTGATTGATCAAGAGACTTAAAACTCTTATTTCAAAGACCCGGACAAAGTTCTGGAGTTGAGACACCTCAGCGTCGTATTCCACTTTCTTGACGTAGCCCACTGCTCCCCCAACTGCTTTTATCGTTTTTGGAGTGAAATAATTCACTGGAAGTTTATGGAGGCGGATCCATACCGGTGTGAATTGCAGAAAGTTAGCCGGTAGGTATTCAAACCATCGCTCCATCAACAAACCCCATTCATCGAAGGTCCAAAAGCCAAGCTTAATGACCGTCTGGATGTCTGATTCCAGTTCAAAGATGAACTGAAAAATCTCCTTTGTTAGCGCCAGCCCTCTAACTCTTTCACAGATCTTCCAGATGTGTGGCATCGTCCTCAGCATTTTTGCCATGTTTTGGCACTCCAGGTTGAGCAGGCGTCCAATCAGACTCCTTCCATTCCTCACCACTTCACCACTGCCCTGAAGTCTTCATCTGCTGAGAGAATCACTGGAGCATCTAGGTCATTGTTTGCATGATTTTGCTAAGCATCCCGTCCATGAGCAAGAGAAACAGAGTTTTTCTAGGAAAAATGTGTTTAGCTTGTGAAAACAGAAGAGGTGAAGATGATGACGGTTGGAAGAACCCTAGATAAACACCATGGAGTCAACGCAGATCTAACCAAAATCCATTGATTTACTGAATATTTTCCTTGCTTTGCTGTGAAAAGTTTGGAAACTTGCCAAAAAAACTCTTGATCGGCAAGGAAAACATCCTTCCGAATATTTCCTCCTCTTTGAATCGTAGAAGCAAAGCCAGCCTCTAGACGACATAGAGAGAGTCCTGAGCGAAAAAATTTGGAAAATAAAGAAAAAAATCAGTGCTTAGTTTAGTTTTTTCATACAAATGCAATTTTAAATAATTTTTAGTTTGATAACAATAATATGTTAAAATTTGGATCGGAAAATATAACTCGCGTAACTCTTTTGAACTTGTAGCATTCAATCTCAACTCTGTAATATATATAGTCAAATAAAGAGGATATTAACAAGTTGGACAAAGACAACCATTTGGATGAATCTTTTCAACTGAAAAAGAAGACTACACTCCCGGTTATGGATGTTTATGGTTCAGTGAAGAAATTTGGAACACTGCCCTTGAAGAAAAACAAGAAAAGGTACAACATATTTATAAGTTAGATTTCTAAAGAGATTGCAAATTCTATATAACATTCTCTTCTATAACCAGCAATCACCAACTGATTAATCCCAAACTTTCCGTGCGCAATACCAAATTCGTTTCCCAAGCATCGAATAATTATTAGACATTAAGCTGGTAGCTGCAGCTTTTTATTGTTTTTCCAGCTGTGATGAGAAACCAAAACCAAAGTCAAAAGTTCTGAATTTATTTTTCATGAACATAGAGGCAAAAGATGGAGGTATTATGATACCTTAGGAAGTAATAGTAGAAGAAATCGGCGTAAAGCAGTGTTTGAACAAGCCCAGCGATCCATGCTACAACACAAGTATCAGCTAAATTGTCAAAAAATTCACAAAGACAATGGACACTGATTCATGAGCATCTGATGCACAAAGAACTTGTTCCATAATTGATGTTATGCGGTAAGAAGTTCACTAATCAAACTAGGCACACATCAACATATGCTATAATGTGGAACTGACAAAAAAGGTTGAGAGAAGGAAATAGTCATACTTATCCAATGAACATAGTGTGGTTCAGTGAAATAACGGTATATCCAATTGAGAATGTACAACCCACGGTATCCCCTACAACAAGACGGCATAATTTTTTCTTAACAAATATGAAACTTAGAAGGCAAATAAACTTTAAAAACACAATTGCAGGGTAATAATGGAACAGATTGAGATGTAATATCTCGTTAAACTAGACAATAAAGATATTTACAAAAGAAGACATGTGTATACCCAAGTAGACATATGTATTGCCCTGTCAAGTTATCGATGTTTCTAGTCCTTTGCAGCAACACAAGCTGGGGAAGTATTGCCACAGCCTCTAAGTACAGTGAAAAAGTCCACAGGACCTGATATTATAGAGACTATATGTGAATGGCACAAAAAGAAATAAACCAAAAGCCTACAATGTTACATATTGTCCTCACCTCAAGGAGGGTAAACTTTTCGTGAATCACAAGAGCTAAGAGTAGGCATGGAAGCACGAGGAACCAATGACGAAAGGTATCTTGCTCCCTATCATAAGTTCTATGGACAGCCTTATGGTACCTCATGTACCAAACTATTGAAAAGGAACTTCCTAAGAATATCAACTTCATAAGAGTGTTATAGACAGATACGAAACTCGTAAGAATATCCAAATATCGAGTTGCAAAGACGATGGCGTAGAGTTCTTGAGTCTTCAGTGAGACACCTGCAGATGCCAAATCAAGTAAATTCTCCTAAACTGCAAATTATGCAATGCTAATCTAGTCACAGCTCCGTACATAAATACTTCAAATTCAATGGGATCTCATATATAAAACGTATAAGAAACTAACTCAAGCACAACTTCCCGTTGATCAATTTGGCTCAAAGACGATCTTTAAATTGGATTAGGAAATAAAAACTGGCAGATGATTACCAGAATCTGAGTAAATTTCGCGATTTTAGAAAAGCAGGATCCGAATCGAGAATGAGAATCGATTTAGCGTAATTATAGATTATGACACCACAAACGAAAATGAGACATGATCGAGACTAAAACAAAAGAAAACATACACAAATCGATTCCGATTTCAGAACAGAAATCGAAAATGAACGTACCGGCGCAGGATTTGATGGTGTGGATCTTGAGAAGCAAGACAAGAACACTGGCCAGGTGAGTCATATCACCTGCTAATCTGAAAATGTTCATCTTCGATCCGTGTTCGTTCTTCTAGTCGTCCGAAATGGAAAGAGAATCTCGATCTACTGAGGTTTATGAAGCTCCTTGCCTTTTTCGTAATTGTTCTTCTCCGCGAATACGACACAAGGGGTATGTGCTAGATCTCGTTTACAAGTCTCGTCTTCCTGGAAAATGGAAAGAAACTGATAAAATCTTAAGCCCAGGCCGAAAGTACTTTTAGTTGTGGGCCAAGTTAGATAAGCCGAAAGCTAATGGTTTTGGTTATTTTTTTTATTTTTTTTCAACAGCCTTCAGATTTCTGTATAGATTTAATAAGCCAATTGTATGGAGTTGAGTTTAAATATAGATGATAAAGGTTTTTTTGAATATTTTATATTAATTTGTCTATTTTAGTGTTCTGTACATGTGGAATCTGTAGAATCGAGAAGCACTCAAATTTTTTTATGCTTTTCTTAAACTCCTCTAAATGTATTACAAAAGTCAGTCATTCCTCCGGTTGCATCATCATTTTCACCAGTTCTGAATAATCTATTTGAAAAGTTATATCCACTTTTTTTGTATCAAGGATGCAATGCATACTCATATCAGCACTTCTAATTCTTATGTAAAGGAAAAATACTTTGTCCCACATTCTTTGCTCTCATCAAAGTACATATCATTCTATTTCTTTGACAGAACCAGCCCAAATCCGAGTTTAGTGTGGATAGTTTTTGTAGCATCCGTATCCTAGAAAACTGAAATGATCAAGATAGGACAAAGCGTTATCCGAGGGATTAATAAGTTCAGTCAAGTGAAAAATTCATATAGATGGGAGGTTCAGATTTTAGGCGGGTGATGACTAGGAAATAGTCGATGGATGGCTGGGATGAGCCGAGGCGGATGGACCATATCCGAGAGATAAATAAGTTAGTCCAAGTGAAAGTGGACTATGTCTGGAGAAAAGGAAAAGTATCCGAGAGAAAATGAAAAATAGCCGAAGGGATTAAGTTTAATCTGAGAGAAATTGGGCTGGTTTGTGGGCCGTGAGTTTAGGTCGGCTTAAATGTGTTTTATCGCATGGATGGTCAAGCAGGTATGGGCTATATCCGAGAGAAAGTGGAACTAACCGGGATAAATCCTACTGGAACCAGAAAACGTCGATTATAACCAAGTTGCTTAGGGTTGCCCGAGTATATAAGGCGTTTTTGAGACTTTTCTCGGGAGAGTTGCGTTATTTTAAAGAAATAAAGTAAGAGAGAGAGAGATTAGTCGAGAGAAAATCTTAGAAAAACCTATTTATCCCGAGAGTAGCCGAGATAGATCGAGCCATAGCCATACGGATCCGACCATCGCCGAGATAACCTGGTAAGCGATCAGATATTTTCATTGGTATCGAGTTTCCGGCGGGTAACATCGGACTGATCGATGTGTTTTGTGGTGTTTCTAGGGGAATACAGAGTTTGTCCCGAAGAAAGGTGAACAGATCCTGACATAGTCGAGGAGAGGGAGATCAGAACATAGCGATAGCCGAGAAATCCCTATGGTGTTCGGCTATCTTTGTTTCTAAGCGAATTTCATCGAGATTTCTTCCGACCAATCTGTTTCTAACCTTGTCTAAGGTGAGTGTCTGACTGTGGCTAGTGTCTAGGATCGTTGGATTGCTAGGGTTTGATGTTTTGCATGATTGTTTGTGTGATTTTCATGCTGTGTGCTTAGAAAGTGTTAACGGTTCTATGTATGCGATTGCGAGGTATTTACCGTGGCTAGGATGATGTCTAACTAACCTCAGGGTAATCCAAATCATCTGCTAGCTTAGGGGATGTGGGATTCTCGCTGAAACAGACATGGGTCTTAAAAAGGGATTGATCGTGAGTTAGGGTAGATGATCAGGGCCACTTGATATGTATATGTTTCTTGCTAATTGATTGTATGGATGTTGAATCCGATAGTATGAATGCGTGATTGGTACTGGCTAAGATGTTACGGAATGACCGTACTCACTAAGTATTTATGACAATACTTATGCCTCTCTTGTTTGAGTGTGCAGGATCTAAGCAGTAAGTGGAGCAAGACCAGCGGCAGTGATGGACATGGATGGATCGCGGATTTGGGTGTTTTTATGTTATAAGACTTATGTTTTGTCTTACGGGCTTTGGTGTTGACCGTTTAGGTTGCTAGATGAGATCATGTATTCATCAGTGAACCTTGTGATTTGTTTTTGTTGAGTCCTGAATCCTGTTTAAGTGTTATTATTTCAAGTTATAATGGGAATGAGTTTATTTATTGACTCCGCTATGTACTGAAATTGCAAAAAAAAGTTTAAAATTTTGCCTAAGTATAGAACTTGAGCGTAGGATGTAGTGTGAGGTGAGGCTGCAGTTTAGTTAGTCGGGTCGGGTCTCCACAAGTTGGTATCAGAGCATTTACGCTTCTAGGACTGGTTACTGGTTGTTGCTGTTTTGTGTGGGGTTTAAGGGGGTCCGATCCATTCTTCACTGCCAGGTCTCGCGGTAAGATTTTTGTTTTGTGTTTTTGAACACGGATTGAGTTAGTTTCGGCTAACTTGCATAACTGTAATTGAAGATGGTTGAAACCATGAGAACTGTGAGAAACAATGCGGGGCAACAGGTCGAGGGTTCTGTGAACTCTATGAACATTGGTTATTCAGGAAATGGCAAGGAATGCCGAGGGCCTGGCGGCTAGAGCTGCAGCCGGGAATGCAGAGAATGCAGCCAAGAATGCAGCGAATGTGGCAGCGGGCAATGATGCGGGGTATAGCAGCTGGGGTCGCTAGGAATGCGGCTGGAGTCGCTGCGAATGTGGCACCGGCGGGGTTATAGGCTGTGTTGGGGATGTTGGCACAGGTATTGGCCAGACTTCCTGTGGTGGCTCCTGCTCCGACGGTTGCAGCTGCACCACAAGCAGTCCAGCCCGGTGGGGCTAATGCAGATGCAGTGGTGGAGGAAGCGGGCCAAGTGGAGAGGGGTCCGACTTACCTCAAGGTTCTGGATCACATGGTGAGACTGGGGACCAAGTTCTTTCCCGGTGGAACCACGCCTATTGGGGCGGATAAGTGGAGGATGAGGTTGGAAAGGAATTTTGAGTCTATCTGATGTCCTGAGGGTTACAAGAGGGACATAGTCGTGCACTACTTGGAGGGAGATGAACACACGTGGTGGAAAGGGATTGTTGGAAGGTTGGTGAACGCGGTCTGTTCTTATGAGACTTTCTCTGCGATGTTCAGGAGTAAGTACTTTCTCCAAGAAGCTTAGAGCGAGTTGGAGAAGGCGTTTCTGTACCTTCACCAAAGGACACTGACCGTGAGGCAGTATGAGACTCAATTTAACCAGCTGAGGAAGCACGTGGCCCATGGGTTTGATACCGAGAAGAAGTTGATTTGTATGTTCATAAGCAGACTGCGAGTAAAGCTGCAGAACGGATGTTTGGTCCGTGGCTTCAGGACAGTGGCCAAGCTAGTGGAGAAGGCGGCATTGTTAGAGTCAGGACAGGCGGAAGCAGCTTCGATGAAAGCTGAGGTAGGGTCAGCCTTGGCCAAGGTGGGTCAGTCTAGTAGACACAATTGGAAGGTCAGGAAGAGTGTACCGAGCAAAGGGACCGGAGGTCGCAGCGTGTGCAGCAAGTGTGGAAAGGCTCACGTTGGAGAGTGCAGACGTGGTAGTGGAGGATGCCACAGGTGCGGGAGCTTGGAGCACCGGGTACGAGACTGTCCGGAGGAGGATCTGCGAGTAGAGACAGTGCGGTTCGGGTGTGCTACGCTTGCGGAGAACCAGGGCATCTCAAATGTGAGTGTCCTAAGGCGGGAGTGGTGGAGCACGCTGTATTGCATGAGAAGCGAGCAGGGGAGGCGCTTACACCACCAGCCAAGAGACAGGCCATCATGTCGAGGGTGTACACGACGAGTACAGCAGTAGCCGACGGAATGAGCACTTCTCATCCGATTACTGGTAAGTGTGGTACTTACAGTTTCTGTGAATTGTTTGCGTGTTGTTGATATTACCATATATTTTGCATATTTCGCATGCATTTAGAGTAGTTTTCATTGATTTGTATTGATTTCTCTGAAAGTCAATCCTCCCACACCATTTGAATTATCTAGCTTTTTCCTAGCTATCCACGCCATCTTGTGTTTTTCCGGAGCTTCATCCCACCCCACCAGAACCTGGTGAGGATTGACTGCATCCTTTTGCATAGAGATTTGGGGAGTTTGAAACACGTCATTGAGTACGTAGGCAGAGACGATAGGACTGTCTTGAGAAGTACTTGTTTCCCTGCCCCTGACAAGAACTTTGTGGAGTAGCTTTGCACTCGTTATCTCATTCTGTCCACTAAACCCCTGAAGGTATCTTTTTTCCTTCGTCCGAAGCTCTCGGGTAAACCTAGATATTTTCCAGACCTCCTTCTTTCTGGATGCCTACGCTATCTTTCACCCTGTTTCTAATCTCAGGAGGGGTTTTGGTGGAGAAAGTGACGGTGGACTTATCCTGATTGATCCTTTGACCTGTGCACTGTTCATACTGAAGAAGGATATCATTGAGCTCCTTGCAGCACACTTCGTTTGTTCTACAGAAAAACATTATGTCATCCTCAAAGAGTAAGTGGTTTATGAATGGCTTTTTCCGAGCCACTTGTATTCCTTTTAGCCTTCCTGACATCTGTGCTTTTTGGCAAAGCCCCAAGAGGACTTCTGTTCACAGGATGAAGAGATAAAGGGACAACGGGTCACCTTGGCGCAGTCCTCAGGAACGCCTAACCCGTCCCAATGGGGTCCCGTTAATCAGAACAGAGTACGTCATAGAAGTGACACACGCCATGATCCATTGAGTCCACACAGCATGGAAGCCAAATCTCTCGAGTACCGGTTGAAGTAACCCCCACTCGATCCTATCGTACACGTTGCTCATATCTATTTTTACCACCATCGAGCATCTCTTAGTGGCCTGAGAAGATTTGAGGAAATAGAGAGTTTCGTGAGTTATAAGGACATTGTCGACGATATCTCTTCCCGGGACAAAAGCTGACTGATGTTGCGAGATGAGATTAACCAACAGAGGTTGAAGTCCTCCGGTAATGATCTTTGCTATGATCTTATATCTCACATTACATAATGCTATCGGCCTGTAATCAGCTGGGACTCTTTGTGCAGATCCTTTTGGCAGCAAACACACGTGTGTTTCATTTAGGTTTACCTCCATTTGTCCGGATCGGAAGAACCTTTGGATTTCTTTGCAAATGTCCGTTCTTAGAATTTCTCAGAACTACTGGTAGAATCTTGCTGAAAATCCATCCGGGCCAGGAGCCTTG